TAAAATAGAACTATTTATGAATATATACCGTATTTTCTTTAATAGTAGTGCACCCCGACGAGCCGAGTTGATGACTATTTAACGGTTTCCAAGCTTTTGCCGAAGCTCAACACTCAAATCCCCCACTAGATCTCATCGTCAGCTACATTTTCCGACCTCACATCGATAAGTTCTGATAAGCGGTTCTCAAGATTTCGAGCATTCGAGCAAAAGCAACGCTTAGGGTGCACTACTATTAGAGAGAATAAGGTATTCTGTATTTTCTCTAATTGTAGTGCCCTCTCCCCCTCTGCCCGGCCGCGCCGAGTTGACGACTATTTTACAGTTCCCAAACTTTCGCAGAAGCTCAACACTCAAATCCCCCACTAGATCTCATCGTCAGCTACATTTTCCGACCCATTTTCGGTTCTGATAAGCGGTTCTCGAGATTTTGAGCAATTTAGGCGACGCTCATGGTGCACTATTAGGCTTTCCGAAAGTGGAAAAACTTTCCGAATTCCCAACAATCAAACATTTTAAAAAATTTTCCTAAAAACGGCCAATTGATTCCCGGAAGTATTCCCAAATTCAAATAACAAATTTACTTTTTGAATTCAAATGAATTCTCTCCATCATTAACTGGGAATTCGGAAAGTTTTTCCACTTTCGGAAAGCCCCAGCTAAGCGGGGATTTTCTTTGGCGGTTATAGTCAATGAAAAAATGAGGAAAGGCCATTTCTGAATATTTAAATGTTTTTGATCCCGGATTTGATGACATACTGGTATTTTGTTCTTAAATATTAGTAATCGAGAAAAAAAATTAGGCTAAGTCCAAATGGGGTTTTTTTTTAAAGAAAAAATAATGAAATTGAAAGCCTTTGAAATTTTGAGAAAAGAGAAATGTATCGGGACATCTCTAGTGTTATTTAGCTTTGTGATTTTGAAAAAAAGAAAACAAAATACCCAAACAAAAGTTTATTCATCGGGAAATAAATGTATCGAAAAAAAAGCCAATCTAGGGATTAGTCTTTGAATGTATCCAATTATCCGATCTGTCTTCTTTTTTCTGAAACTTTTTGTTCCTTTTTGTTTCTCTGAAGGAGGAATCTATTTCTTTTTCATTAAATACTCAAATATTAATGTACAAATGTTTGATTTGTCTGATCCTTTTATTATTTTATGAATATTCTAGTTTATCTCTTAATTGAATTCCAATTTCCATTCATTTCTGAGGTGATCAACACAGAAAACTGCATTCCGACTGTATTCCGTTCGATTATTGACTTTTCTAAATTCCAATATAGCCAATATAAGACTTAATATCCAATAAATAAATTCAAATAGCTTGGCTTAAGATTAGGATGTATTTTCTCAAAATAGAAGTCATGATTTCATTGAATCAATCGGTTAATGCTGCCGACAGTTCACAGATTTAGTTTCAACTTTTCACAAATCATAATTGTTTTAATTCTTCAGCATTTGGTTTTGTAAAGTGACTCTTTCATTAAACCGTTAAAAATGAAGTTAACCGTTTAATAGTAAGACAAAAATCTATTATCATGACTTCTATCTCATTGCTCAACTTCGATTCCTTGTTGATTACGGCATCCAAGAAGCTGCTGCAAGCAACTTTCAGCTTTATTAACAGCTTGTTATTAACAATCAGCTGTGTTTTAAAAAAATGCTCTTCTGAAAAATAAAGAAAAACATTTATCTATTTAACTATGTCTAGTTTAAATTATCTATTCATCGGCGTGGATTCTCAAACGGGATTTAATTGTATCTCAAAAGTCAACGAAATACGGGTCATTTGTTTGTTTCAATCTTAATTACGAAAGCTTTTCAAAAGAACATTCTAGCTATTAATAAAATCATTTCTGTTTAAGATAATTGTGAAAATTCGCCTTTCAAAAGTTCATTTTAAACATTTTAACCCATTTGCCTTCAAATATTCCAAATTGTAAGCCAATATTCCAATCAGACACTTTAATTTTCCAAAAAACATCAAGCTTCTAAATATTTTAATCCCCATATTCTTATCGAAGTCCTAGATGATCTCCGGTTTCGAAAAAAATTCTGAAAGAAAGCCTAAATGTTAAATGAAGCACGATAGGCAAATTCGAGTACACTAGCGTTTCTCTTTTCACAGATTGAACATCGAGAGACTTATTTTTGTGTCTCGAGAATTAATGAATATTCAGAGCAGGTAGGCGATAAGACAACAACAAATTCCGACAAAAAAACAAACTTGGGAAACTGAAAGGTTTCTCTTTACTCTTTCACTCAATTACCACTCGGCGCACATTTTATGATTAAATTTTCGCCAATTTCTAAATAGAATTTTTCTTTGTGAGCCCTGATGTGGATTTCCTTTTTACCTCACTCTTCTCTAATAAGTGATATTTGAGTCTTCCGTTCGCTGAAAGGATCCTCCAATAATTAGGCTTCATCTAGTAGAGCCTTAGCATTTTTTTCGTAACTTGTTTTTTGATCTTTCTGTCTTGATGCATAACACTTTAGTAACACATTGATGACTTATAAACCAACTAAATCTTGCTAAACATTTAGATTTGAATTCATTTTGTAGCTATATATTTTTCCAGAAGTCCGTAACTAGAGTAACTAGAGTCCAGTACAAGTCCATAACTAGAGTAACTAGAGTCCAGTACAAGTCCATAACTAGAGTACCTAGAGTCCAGTACAAGTCCATAACTAGAGTCTAGTACAAGTCCATAACTAGAGTATCCAATTCTTGAATCAGTTTGTCTCATTTTAAAAGTACCTTGCACCGATCCTTGCACTCATTTTAGTTTAGGTTTACAATTCTTCAAGATCTCTTTCTTATTTTTCCTTTTCTTTCAATTTTCAGCTTTTCCTAAATGCCAAATTTTAAAGCTGCCAAGCTGAAAAGCTAATCTTTTTTCTTTTTTGAATTAAAATCTAATAACTTTTTGAAATCTTGAATGAAAAGCTGAAAAGCTTACCGCTGAGCTAGGTTTTGATGATATTTGGTTGGGAATTTGGGTGCTGGTCCTTTCCCTGTTTCCCTATACTCCTCCCCCACGAATTGTCACCACCATATCAAATAAAATCGTCTTTCAAAAAATATCAGTATATAAGAACAAAATTTGGAAAAGATGAGTTGAATCTTTATTATGTCAAGGATCATTTTTGAGTCTAATAGTAAGCAAAAGATTTTTGTACGAAAGATTCTTCGCTCATTCCAAGCATGCTAATTTTGTTATTCTCCAAACTTTCTTTGTCCCATCTTTTCTCCCCTTTCCCCCCAGTCCATCCCATTCGTTCATCACAAAATCTGATGCAAATATGATTAATAATTTATATTTTTTTTGAAAATGAAAATGAAAGCTCTTTGAAAAAACCCGAAATTAGCTCTTTCTTCAAAAATTTCGTTCCAACTTCTTTGTACTTTTCTGCCTCTAAATTTTCCGAGGATCAGCCCTCTGTTGTCCTCAAATTTTGAGAAGCTTTTCTCGCCGAATCCAAAAAAAAATCACAAATCTTTTTCAAAGCTACAGTAATCTTAAAAGTGTCGAGAAATTTTTAATCGAGATTATTTGTTTGCGTCGTCTTCCATTAACTTTGCGAATCACCGGAAATTTAAATTTATTGTGAGAATGGGGTTTTTGATTGCATTTTGTTTTATTATCAATCGGTTAATGCTGCCGACAGTTCACAGATTTGGTTTCAACTTTTCACAAATCATAATTCTTTTAATACTTCATCATTTGGTTTTGTAAAGTGACTCTTTCATTAAACCGTTAAAAATGAAGTTAACCGTTTAATAGTAAGACAAAAAAAATCTATCAAATACAGCTATAATATTTCTAGGAGTACTGTAGCTTTTCAAAATCTTTACTAGCTAGTCTATTTTTGCTTTCAATTAGACAATCCGAGGGGGTTGCAGCTTATCTCAACATTTTGTAAGATGACACATCGATACTTGTACTCAAAGGCTTTGCAAATAAGCTACTTAATCATTTTCTGCTTTTTTTTTATTATTTGACTTTGTTTTGGCATGTTAGAGGGGTGGAGTTGAGAAAAAAAGGAAAAGAAAGGCATTGAGGGTGGTTGTATCTAAATTCCCAGCTGAATATCATCAAAACCTATCTCAGCCCTGGCCTTTTTCACTTAAAGATATTAGAAAGGATGACTTTTTGATTAAAACAATCAAATCTATCAGTTGTGGTGAATTTTCTTTGTGCTTGTAGCTCAAGTTACCCCATGAATGTAGCCTAAAGTCTTGTAAATTCCATTTCACCCAGGCCATAACATTTCTGCTATATTATTATCTTTAGATTTTTTCTAGGCCTACCCTTTTTCTTGCAATAACAACCCTAAATTAACCAAAATCGAATTTCCGGCTTTGAAACGATCTCAAAACACATCAGATAAGCTCATTATTTACAAGTCCTTCTTGATTTATGAAACTTTTCTCTTTTGCCCTATAGGAAATCATAAAAATATTCTTTTATTTGTCAAATCCACCGTGAAATGCAAAGAAATTCTTTTTTGTGATTGAAAATTTGTCAGTTTGACTGTAGTTCCCTACGCTTATAGAGTCAAAAATCTTTCGGTAAAAGATTATTTAAAAATTATTCAGATTTGTGATGTTGATAGTTTAATAGTTTTTTTTTTACTAAAAGTTTCTAAATAAATTGGAGTAAATTGGGGCGGAGAGAGGGGAAAATGAGTGAGATTATCTCGTTGTGGGGGAAGATCCGGAGAAATTGAAAAAAGTTTTCTGTCTGGGAATTTTGCTACACTTCAATCTATTGATATCAGAGAACTTTTTGAAAATCAAATTTTAATCTTTTGTTTTGATTTGGCTACTGTCGATCTTATTAATTGAGCGAATTTTTGTAGTCCAGTTACTCCGGGTAATTTTGTAGTGCGATTGAAAGGGATAAATTGTTCAAAACTTTTCGTACTTGTCAATTATCATATCTCAATTATCTATTACTATTTCAATCAACCGTTATTTCAATTTCCAGCCGATCATGCACGTACCGATCCACGTTGTGACTACAATCTACGTGATGACATTCGTCATCGGAGTGCCAGGGAATTGTTGGGTGATCGGCAATTTGCTGAGAAATCGGTAAGCTACTGGAAATCTTTTGCAAGCTAGATGATATGATGACATTTATGAGACCTTAAATAGCTCTGATTTTAGTCTGTGTGCAACAGGCGGCACTTCACTTTCCCCATCACATCGAACGCGGCTTTTCATCTTCATTTTGGCCATCTCTGATTTGTTATTGCTGTTGACAATCCCGGCTGTGATTCTCTTCATTCAAACGGCTGATTGGTTGCTAGGATCTTTTGTGGGTTTTGGAAAGAGTCAAATGTTTGCAAAATTGAATACTGTAGATTTCTGTAATTGCTGTAATTTATGTAGATTATGAAAAATTGCCTTTTCAGCTTTGCCATGTCCATTTGGCGGTCGACATTTTCGCAAAACTCTTCTCAGTTGTCGTTTTGACAGCGATGAGTCTCGAGAGATATTTCATCGTTTGTACAAGGTTGGAGAAAGATTTACTGTTACTATTATCTATTAACTATCTAATAATAATGTTTAATGTTACGTCTGTTATTGAATCTATTCAATAACGGACCTAATATATATATAATATTTCATTAGATATTAGATATTAATAATCCATTAGATATATATGTGTGTAACGTCTAAATTTCAGATGGAGACATTCATTCAAGAAAGGCCTTACCACAGCTATCCCAATGTGTCTCGCTTTGTTGTTATTCGTGATTGTTCCGATGGCTGTGCAAATTCACTACACAACGATTATCGAGATTGCACTACCGGCGTCGATGGTAAGCACTTGGTGTTTTAGATTAGTATTGATCGTCTATCAATGAACAAAGCCATCAAAACAAAGCCTTTTCCAGGATCTATCAGCACCTACTGAACAGCCATATCAAATTCATCGTTTATGTGTACCGGGGATGAGTGATCGACTCTTCAATCTTTTTGCTCACTACATGTTTTTGACTGGGTAAGTTTTTGGAAAGATACTCTTAGTGAAATGATAGCACTAGAAACGCATAAAGTTGTTACTGAGAGATTCATTGTAAAATCAATTTTAACTCTCTTTCATTTTCAGTTTCTTCTTGCCTTTATTGATCATGACAACTTGTTATATTCTTTTGATGCGTCACGTTCGGCGAAAATTTCGAATGAGATGTGAAGCGGGTGAGTGGATGATTTGGTGGATAAAGAAAAGGCAGAAAAGAAAAGTAATCTATGAAAAGGGAAAAAAATGAATGCTTTTGAGGATAATCGGAGATTAGATTGAGGAGTGGAGGGGATAGCCCACACATACATTGTAGCCAGTAAGCTCAAAACTCGGAAGTCTTTAGGGTAAACATAGCAAAAGTTGTACTTGGTGTAGCAAGCTTTCTGGTGCACTCATCTTGGCTGAGATGCTGAGAATTTTGATTACGCAAATGATCTTTCATTTAGCCTAAATTCCCCAAAAGTTTTCACGATCTTTTTGCGGTAACAGATTAGTCTTTGGGATTTATTTTTCCAACCAGTGACCAAAATTTATCGTCACTTTTCATTAGCAGATTACGATCATTGTTTGATTTTAGAGCTTCACATGAATTTCAGTTTATAAAACTAAAAGATCTTACTAATTAGTGGAGCCGAATTTTTGAAATCTGTCTAGTGCTAATCTCACGTACAAGTTTGTGGATAGGGGTACTCAAAACAAAGGATTTGAACCAAGATTTGAATAAAAAAAAACAGAGAAAAAGAGACAAGGGGAAAATTTGAATAAAATTTTTATCAATATCCAGGTGGTGCCAGCGGTCGAAGCATTCGCGAGCCTCGCTACATGGGTGAAGTGAGAAAAAGTATTTGGAGGATTGCCATTTATCATTTCGTTTGTTGGGCCCCCTTTTGGACGGTGACTCTAATCCCGATGCTTGTCGGTGAGTAGTGTTAAAGAAAGATTATATCGAGGAAATTTATTATAACCTACTGTAACCGGATCGGGGTAGAATGAGGAGACTAACCTTTCCTCATTTTCTTAAAGCCTTCAAGACTCAAGACTCTAAGCCCTTTAACACCAATAAACATGACAAAAGTCATCCTATCCAAAAGATTACGGATTTCATTTTTTTAGCAAATATGGAGCTGAACTCTCCATGGATGTTTCATCCTGTTTGGCGGGCATTGCAACTTTTCATCAATATTCTCCCAAATATCAACGCAGCTGGTGAGTGTGAAAAAAAGAAGATATAGAAATTTAACTTTCAAACAAAATTGGCAATTACTAGTACATAGAAAAGTACAAGACCTATTTGATTATCTCTTTGGGTTTGAACTCTAACTCTAGTTTCAAAAAAACGAGTATTGTAGTAAGCCGCCAAGACTTTTCCCCAAGTCCATTGTTTTTGGGACCTTTTTGTTGTTTAAAATAAACTTTCGAGTTCAATGCTTGATCATAGCTAAAAGTAGAGTAAAAATGCTCAAAAATACTTGTGACAACTTTTTTATAGCCTCTCGGAAAGGTTCCTAAATTTGCATTTGAAAGTTGCCACCCAGGACCCGCCAAGACTTTTGTCCATGACTGTAGAATTGTTTGCGGAATCATACTGTAAATGAAGCCCAACTGAATCAGAAGTGAAATCTATCAAATACAGCTGAAATCTAACTGAAATCTAAACGGAAAATTTTAGGCAATTGGATACTTTACGCTTTCCTCAACCGTGACGTTCGTCGTCATCTCTATGTGGGGAAACCGTCGAATAAAAGCAAAACCACTCTCATTTTCTCATCGATGACTATTTGAATTAAGTGTTTCTTTTGACAACTTATTGACAACTTCAAGGGGTATTTTTTGGTACTTATTCGATCTTTACCGAGGTATATTTTTTGATTTTCTGTTCTTTTCCTTGTATCTCTTCTACATTTGTTGTGATTTACGGCTCAAAACTTCTGGTGCATTGCGTTTGATTTGCAGAATAAACATTGAAATTACGGCAGTAACACAAAACTACACTGCAATTGTGAGTGAAAACGCCGGAATAGAAAGTTCGCATGTAAATTCACAAAATTTGCATTTAATTTCGAGTTGTCACAAAATACGCCACGATTTTTCATTCTATTTGTCACGTGATGCGGCTTCTTGCATCGAGAGGAATCCTTCGGAGAATCGCCTCAAAAGATGCGGTAAATTATTGAACAACTTTATTTTGACGTGCTGAACAACAACACTATATTTTAGGGGAAAAGCAGCTTTGTATAACCTTCGTGTTATTCAGTGTTTTTAGAGCTTTTACAAGCAGTTAGAAAATTCTGAATTCAAAAGTGAAATTTAAAGACGTTTATAGAAGGTTAAGTTAATTTTTGACATATTGTAGCTCTCTGATCGTTAAAGACCTTCAGTAGAGGGGAAAATAATTGCTCTGTGAGCTTTTTCCCCTGCAAAGTTTCTTATTTTTCTGCTACTCAGAAAGTTTTATTGTTTATTTTTAGTGGAATGGAGGAATCCGAATGAAGAGCACGGCCTCCTCATCCCCCATTCACATTCCCTTCTCTGGACGGCTCGATCCGATGTGTGACCTCAACGAACAAACATTTCTGCATAAGGTTTGGGGTTTTATAGTTAAAAACCTTTGTTGCGCACATTTTGCCCCACTCAAATGTATTTTGCCCCACTCAAAATATATTTTTCTTTCCTTTTGATTTTTTTAACTTTAGGATGGCGGTCATCGTGTCTCGTTTCTCGGAGACAAACCAATGAGCACTTATCTCTTCGAGGACACGCGTACTTTGTATCAGGTATGTCGCTTGTAAGAAAGATTGTTATCCACTTGAACGAACGGATCTTCTAGCTACAATCATTAGGATTTAACAAGGATTAATAAAAATGTGCATAGTTAAGGTTTAAAATTGATACTCTGATATTGTGATACTTTTGTTTAGATGCTGCGCCGTGGTGCACGCGTCTCTCGGCACGGTGAATGTTTGGGACAACGGGTGGCGAAAGATGATGAGGCTCGCCCTTATGAGTACATCACATATGCTGAGGTTTCTCTTTTTGAGCGATTTATTTGATAAGGGCGACGTTTGATCTTATGTGATAACACGGTTGATTTGTTTATGTTGTAGTGGTAGATCCTCGTGATCCCGTACATCCTGTTGTAACGTGATTGAATTGCTTGCGGAATAACAGTTAGCGTTTATCCAGAATAATGAAAGACGATCTTCCCAACAGTCTATATTATGACCGTTTAAAAACGATCTCCTTTTAGACTGTCACTCGTTCGGAAAAACTCGGCGCAGCGATTCTCAGTTTTGGGATTCAACCGGGACAAGACACGCGCATTGGAATCTTTTCGGCGAATCGACCCGAGTGGTTGTTGATCGAGCACGCGTGCTACACTTACAATATGGTCAACGTGCCCGTCTATGCAACTCATGGACCTGATGAGTGTCTCTACATCATGCGGTACTTTATGTTTTTACGTTTTAAGAACTTTTTATAGACAAGCCTCGATTCCTCTCATCTTTTGTGACACTGCCGATAAAGCACAATGTAAGCGCAATCGCTTTATCAGAAATTGCTTTTGTTCAGCTTTGATTGCAAATGCCCACCGCGTGCCGGATCTCCGAGTGATTGTCGTTGGAGCCCCATTCGATGCACGATTGAGAGAAGAAGGACAAAATCGGGATATTCATGTATGACTATTTTACAACATACTTGTTTAATAGCGTCGTTTAGGTGCTCTCGTTTAGCGAATTCGAAGTTCGCGGTCATGACATGTCGAAGCGCCCTCCACCAATTCCACCAAAGGTTTTATTTTGTCGTCTTGAAGATTTCTCATGTTTTAAAGAAAAATTTTGTAAGTTCGTTAATTTTGAAATGTTTAGCCTGACGATATTGCCACAATTTGCTACACATCTGGTACGACTGGAACGCCAAAGGTATTAAAAATTTTATGAACTTTCGGTTTGCCCGGATATTGACAATTCTTGAATTGTTAGTTTTAGGGAGTACAAGTATCACATGGAAATATCGCAGCCGTGCATACTGTTCTCGCTTACACCAATATCAAGCACGATGATACGGTAAGTTGATTATACTTTTTGTGAGAGATGATTAGCATATTTGTAACAATTTATTTACAGTGCCGTTACCTTTCGTATCTCCCATTGGCCCACATGTACGAACGAGTGGTGCTTGCCGGTGCACTTGTTGTCGGAGGACGAATTGGCTTTTTTAAGTTTGTTGAATTGGCTTTTTCAAGTAACCTGACGCGGAATATTATTGAATTTTAGTGGAAATACTCAAATGGTGCTGGATGATTGCCGAGAATTTCGCCCAAATCTACTCATCACGGTGCCACGTGTGCTCAACAAAGTTTATAACAAGGTTTGCGGTGATGTTGTTTTAAAAACGGACGATCTTTTTAGATCTATGAACAAGTGCGCTTCAGCCCAGTAAAGCTGCTGCTCTTCAATTTAGCTCTCACTTACAAAAAGATTTTGGTGAAAAGGTATATTGTTTTTCTTCTGTAAATTTGATGTGAGCCGTTTAGAGGAATTGTGCGACGAGACACCTGGGCCGATCGAATGATCTTCAAGAAAGTTTGCCTTTATATCCAAAATAATCAAAGAGTTGTTTAGATTCAAGCACTGTTTGGTGGAGATCTTGATTTACTCGTTTGTGGTTCGGCTCCACTCAATTCCGAGGTAAGTATCAAAGTTTGAATTGTGTATTTGACCATGCTATGGTTTTTTTCTGTTTAGGTATTGGCATTCTTCCGAGCGGCTCTGGGTTGTGTTGTACGCGAAGGTTATGGACTAACGGAAAGCACGGCTTGTGGAACGGTAGCTTCTTAACGCTGAAACTTTTAAAGTATGCTTCTAGATCACACTCGAAGGAGATCACGATACTGGACACGTTGGAGTTCCGATGCCTTGTGTTGAAATGAAGGTCTATCTCATTTTTTATTTATCTACAGTTTTCCTAGCTGCTCCCTGTGACAAATCCCGAGAAAAAAGTGGATTCGACTTGTGGAGAGATTTGTTTTCGTGGACCAATTGTTGCAAAGGTTTTCGATTACACTTAAACTAACTTCAATGTATTTAGGGATACTTCAAAGCTCATAAGATTACCAGTGAGACTTTCCTTTCTGATGGTTGGCTACGGACTGGAGATATTGGTATGTGCATAATATTTTCGTAACACAATAACCTTTTGTAGTTTACTTTTACGATTTTCATCTTGTTGACTTGATTAATTTGCAATTTTTAGGTAGAATTGATGAGAAAGGTCGTCTAGTACTTGTGGATCGAATCAAAAATCTCGTCAAACTACCGAATGTTTGTTTACTATCGATTAACTTTGTTCCAACTTGTGCTTTAGGGTGAATTCCTTGTCCCGGATAAGATCGAGAGTGTCTACCAGCAATCGCCTTTTGTCGAACAAATCTACGTGCACGGACAGGGAGATCGAAATGAACTCGTTGCCATCATTGTGCCTAACAAAGAGGTTTTTTTTTACTGCTTTTGGTATGTAATATTTTATGAAAATTTAGTATCTTATCGCTTATGCCGCCGATGAGCTTAAACTAACTGGGATAGACCTTGCCGAGTTGTGTACAAATCATGATGTGTGTTTAATTCCAATTATTTGTATCATTTCGTTTTTTAGGTTCGAATGGCCGTGGCAAAACAATTACGAGCACTTGGGCTCGAAAAAGGATTGAGCTCTTTTGAACAGGTGATACCTAGATTTTTAACGCTTTTGGTAGCTTTCTTACTATATCTTGAGATTTTTATTGCAGGTTTCTCGCTTCTACTTCACCGAGGATCCATTCACTGTTGAGAACGATCTCTTGACACCAACGTTGAAGAACAAACGCTCGAATATCGCAAAGAAGTATGCTAGTGATATCACTTGGATGTACGCAAAGGTAAATAGCTTTGTGAATCTTTTTTTGATGAGAACCATTTGCTTTAGATCGATGTCAAAGAGTTCCGAAAGCAACACATCTAACAAACGAACAAATTGACGCAAATTTGAAACACTCACATTTTAGCTACTTGCATTGTTTGTCCACTTTAAGGTGCTTTAAACATTTCGTGAATGTGACTCTTTAAAACTTTTCTTTGTGCATGAATAAATTGTTTGCAGGTGTTTTATCTGAAAAATTGCCACAGAAGTGGTTACATGTAAAGCACTTAGAGCTTTTTCTGAGCGAATCTTCTTGGGCAAGGGCAGTAGTTGGCATCCCGTCCGGTTTCTCCAGGTCTACCGGGTTGTCCATCGTGTCCACGGCCTCCGGGAGATCCAGGTCCTCCATTCTTTCCGGGTCCTCCATTTTGTCCGGGTTGGCCGGGAGATCCTGCTGCCCCATTGTCTCCTGGATAACCGCGGCTTCCTGGGCGTCCATCATTTCCGGGTGGTCCGTTGGGTCCAGGCACTCCTCGGCTTCCGTTCTCTCCAGGGGCTCCAGGTCTGCCGTCCTCTCCTGGTTGTCCGGGGGCTCCGTCTGATCCAGGTCGACCGTCTTCTCCAGGTGGTCCTCCCTGAAATTTTATTTTTGAAAAAGAGTATTAAAAAAACAAGCCGGACAGGGCCCAGCTAGTTTCATCACTCACTGAGCTTCTTTCTCCATCTCGTCCGGGCTCTCCACTGTCTCCAGGTGGTCCTGGGGGTCCTAAAATTAATTTCTTTACAATTTTATCCTTCACACAGACCTGGGCGTCCGGGTTCTCCTTGTGGACCTCCGGGACATCTCTTGCATCCCTCCTCGTGTTGATGTTCAGCGGGAGTAATTCCTTCGACTCCTGGCTGTCCGCGGGGTCCAGGTGAACCTTAAAACAAATAGTTTTCTACTTCTTTTTTCTATAACCTGGATATCCGTTCTCTCCGGGGGTTCCAGGCTCTCCGGCAGGTCCAGCCGGGCAGCGGTCGTACGAGTCGCAAGTGCATTGCTGATTGCTGTACGAACGGGCTTTACGAGGACGAACAATGCCGACACGAGCAGCCTGTGGAAGTATTCTGATGAAAGGAGATCATTAATTACCTTGAGACTTCCCCAGACTTGTTGCTCCCCAATGCGGAAATGATCCATTCGGACGGAAACCGTCGAGCGGATTTCCTCGATCTGTAAAGTTGATTCTTTTAGATGAGTTTTATTAAACCTATCCTTTAAACCCTCTTTTAATTTTTGCTTGATAAAGATAATAGATTACAATACTTGATTCATGATGAAGGGCAAATAGAAGAGACATGTCATGATGGCTAAGCCCGAGCCGACCGACGACGCCCAACCAACCCACGAAGTCATTCCTAAAAGTTTTACAATCCTTGAAAATACTGTAAAATAGATTTCCTTACAATTCGACCACTGTAAAGCTCTAGTCTTACTACAGTATGATGCAAAGAGAAAGAACGCAGACATTAAGGCTGAATATCTTTCAACAGCTCCTATTGGAGTTTGAGATATTCAGTCTTGATGCCTGGACAAGACCAAGACTTTGGTCCAAAGACAGTCCAAGATAAGACCAAGGCAAGACCAAGACAAGACCAAGACCAAGACTTTACAGTATCTTTGGAAAGGCTATTTAATAAGAGATACAATGTTAGCTGAATGATTCAACAATCGAAGTCCGGCCTTAAATATCGTTGTCCCATTGACATTCCAAAGCGTTCTTCCATCACTCGATAAGTTATCTATCAACCAAAAAATATGTTCTAATTCATAAAAAAAATCGGAAAAACAAGTGGAACCGGGGAATATTAGCGAGTTTTGAGAGAATTTTCAAGCGAAACAGCAATTTTTGTGGAGAAATCGGTAGAACCGCTTACTTGTTAGCTCGTTTCACTCGTCTCACCGCAAAAAGGAACACCCATGGAAAATGAGAGAAAAGTTTTGTCTTTGACTGGGATTTCTCGGTGTATCGTGACTGTCTAATTTTTTTCATTTTGAAATTTCAGTTTTTGAGTTGAGTGCATTAGCGGTAGGTTATTAATCGATACTCAAAATTGACTAATTAGCATTAGTTGATTAGCATTAGTTAATTAGCATTAGTTGATTAGCAACTAATTAGCATTAGTTCACTTATCTCTAGGCTCATTTAACATTTGTTTTGTGCAAAACTTCATGTACCTTTGTGAAGCATGAGTTGAGAAACCTAAAAACAGCTGGCCAGCGCCGATCGCACAAAGTAAGAGAAGGAACGATCGAAATGTGCCAAAGAAATGGGGGAAAAGCTGGGTAAAAGGGAAATCCATTCTTTTCAACATTTCCCCCATCATTCGATTCGAGAGACCAGCTGACGTGTGACCCCAAAAAGTGAAACATTCCCCAAACAAAACTCTCCCATTCCCTTTTCAATATCCAAGTTTTTCTTGAGTTCTTAAGTTTTTCTATCTATATATCTATCAAATTTCAGAATACTAGAATGTCTGGCCGAAAATTGTCGATAATGGCTTTCGGCTACATGCAGAAAAGGCGACGGAGTAGCGCGAGAAGGTTTGAAAAATTTAAAAACATTTTCTTTCATACTTGAAATTTTTTATAATTGTTTTATGAATAAAAATAACGTAAAGAAGATATAAGGTAAGGAAAAATGAGGTTTAAAATAAGACAAGGCCGAACATAAACGGCTAAGCATAAGCTGATCCAATATTCCGAGACGAGACTGAAATAAACCAAAAAGCAGTAGCTATCTCATTGAATATCAGGTGAAATGATTACTGAATACTTATTATAGACAATTAATCATTTTCTTAAAGCCATTCGCCACCTGAAAGCTCAAGGATGGGCCTTGTGTTCGGGGGTAAAAACTGGGTTCCTTTCTCTTTCAAAAGAGCGATCATATTTCTCGAAAAGACAAAACACAGACTCGACGACATTTTCATGAGTTCCCTCCCGTCCGTCTTCGTGCGCTTTTTTGCCCCTTTCAACAACCATATGACATATTCATTTTTGTGCTAAACTCGGCTAAACTAAAAGCTTTTTCGTCATTCGATTGATTCAAATATGAAACGCCCGAGCTCGTTGGAGGGGCTCAACTTAGCCGATGAGAAATTTGATTTCAAGTAGATTTCGAGATTTCTATAGTTGAAAAGATTTTGAAGTTTACAGAAAAGAGTCAAGGCGATGGAAAGAGCCACCGTCAAAGGCTTTGAGGGCATCACAGGTCGGATCTTTGAGTTTTAAGCTATTTTTGTACAAATTTATAGTTTCAATTTCAATTTTACCTAATCAAATCAATGTCAAATCAATCAGATTCAGATCGAAATGAAATCCTCATCGTTGGAGGATGAGATGACATCCGATGCCATTCAGGTGAGAAAGCTTGATACCAGAATTCTTGAGCATACCAGTTTTTCTAGACTCTTTCGGATGCGTTGGATAAAGGAGGAATTGAGAATGACATTGCCACTTATATGAAGTCGACTTTTGAGAAGAAATATGGTTGGTCAAGGGCTAAGGATCAAGTATAGGGCATATTTAGGCTCAACAGTACTTTTAAAGGCGATAGAATTCTGATAGCAATGTAAAGAGAGTGTAGCAAAACTAGTTAGCATCTAAACGAAAGACAAGAAACCTATTTACAACAAACTATTTACAAGAGCCTACCGTAAATACTGTAATAGTACCCCATCCCCGTCGTACAGTCGCGTAGTCGGAAAAGTTTTTTAGTATTTCATCTTTTTTCAAAGCGCCCGTACTTTCAAAAAATGTGTCTTTGGTATCAAAAAAATAGCCCTGAATTTCAGCTATTTTTTGATACCTAAGCGCGCATTGTAGCATAAACCAGTGTCGAGAAAAACTCGTTCAAAGCTAGACTACGCAACACTCCGCACCGTCATTATGGGGATGGAGTACTATTACAGTATTTACGGTATGTGTTATAGAGCTTAACTACAGCCTACTAATGTTATCTACAAAATCCTATCCCAGGCAACAACTGGAATTGCATTGTTGGTCGTAACTTCGGCAGTCATCTCTCTTGTGTCGAACATGTGCATCTTTCTGTATCGAAGATCTCCGTTTTACTTTTTCGATGTGAATAAAAGGATTTTTTTTCTTTGCTATTAAAATAGACTCTGTTTTTTTACTGTAAGCTAAGAGAAACAAATTCTAGTAAAGAAATTGCGTAATCATTGCCTTGCAACATTAATGTTATTTACTATCACAGCAATCATTGTCAACATGTTCGATTTTTCGAAAAAAACATGATGTTCTTGATTTATTCGAGAAGAGAAGATCCATTTCACACTTCATTGTTTACGATGAAGGATAAACTTTGGGAAAATATTCGAGGAAAATATTAAAATATCATGGCTGACTGGCTAAGATCTTATCTTAATCGGGAGGTTATGGGCTCAATCTCGTTGGCTAGATTGTTACTTCTTTTTCCATATTTATGGTTTTTTCCCTACATTTGGGGCCTTTTTTCCCTACATTTAGGGCCTTTTTTTCCCTACATTTAGGGCCTTTTTTACCTACATTTGGGGCCTTTTTTTATCTACATTTGGGGCCTTTTTCCCCTACTTGATTTATTCGAGAAGAGATCCTCGCATTTCACACTTCATTGTTTACGATGAAGGATGAACTTTGGGAAAATATTTTCCCTAAAAACAGCTGCAAAATTCGAAAAGATTTGCTGTTTTTGACGATATTTCGTGATTTATTCGTGAAAAAGTGATTCTGGAAGAAGATGGGCGGAGAGATCGAAGAAAGATATGAAAAACAAGAAGAGATTGGCCTTTGATCATTTGTGGGTATAAAAGATTTAGTGAAATATGTTGAAAAGCCAGCTTTTATCAGATTTTTTAACAAAATTAAAGCCAGCAGAATTTACAAATCTTGGCTGAATAGAAAACTTACAGAGTCTTTTTAATTGATCTTCTTTACCTTTTTACTCGACTAAACTTGATATCCAAATGATTTTTCAAAGTTTCCCATTCAATTCAATTCAATTCCAGAAAACAATACTTCAAAATGCCCAAGAAGAGTCACGTTGTGAATGTGAAGAACAGTGGGGAGTCAACTCATGTCTCGAATGCATCATTTCTCGATAATGAGGAAAGGGATGCTCTCGGTGGGAGTGGAAGGTCAGTTTGAATTGATTTTGATTGAAAATATGATTGTGAATCAAATGAATTTGATATGGCTAAAGTTCGGTAATGATTTGAAATAGCTCAATCGTTCAATCGCTCAATCCAAATAGCTCAATCGTTAAGCTATAGTCATTTCTACAGCATACTTTCTTCGCTTCCTGGAGTAAAGTTACTAAAATCTTGCAGGAAATCGGAGCCCATCATGGGCCCATGGCTGACTGGCTAAGATCTTATCTTAATCGGGAGGTTATGGGTTCAATCTCGTTGGCTAGATTGTTACTTCTTTTTCCATATTTATGGTTTTTTCCCTACATTTGAGGCCTTTTCCCCCTGCATTTAGAGCCTTTTTCCCCTACATTTAGGGCCTTTTCCCCCTACATTTAGAGCCCAAGGTTTGTGCTTGTAATATTGCTTGTATCACATTATTGTGTGAATAAATATCTTTAAAAAATCTCTAAAGTAGTTTAAAAATGTATCAAATTCAGTAAGAAATTTCAAAATGATAAAATCATAACTCGGTTGAAAAATCTCATTTAGTGGAAAGGTGCTTTGCACTCAAAAGTCAATGGAAGAAGTCGGGAGCACTCTTCAGGTTCGAGAAAAAAAAATATATATATATAAGATGTGGATTGTTTTGCTATTGTAAAGAAATTTCTTTAAAAACATAAAATATTTCGATTCCAGGACCATGGATGGAACGAGATCCGCGCTCAGCACACCGAGAATCACTCGGCTTTCGCCAAGAGAATGTGATCAAATGAAAAACCGATTTCCTTCAACAAATCTAAAATTTAAAACAACTCATTTTCTTTTATCAAGATTCCCTTTTGTAAATTGAAAAAAGATTATTAGCAAAACATTTTGTTATGTTTATTAAAACAAAAAGCGTTTATTATGTTCACAAAGAAAGAAGTTTGAGTCCTTTCATTTGAGCAGACAATTTGAAAGCAAGAGAAAAAAGAAAAAAAAGAAAAAAAGGAAAAAAACAAACTTGAATACCGGCTTTGGCGACCAAAATAGCACGACTAAATAGTAGGAAAAAGAAAGAAAAAAAGAAAAGAATGTAAAGAAAATTTTTCGCATTGGCACAGGCTTGAATATCACAGTGAGAAAAGAAGCACTCTTGAAGCTGGATTGGGAAACAGAAACTTTCTGAACATTATGAAATTTCATAATGGTTCATAATGGGATACAAAAGATCACATCTTTTAAAAGATAAAGCTTTCAGTTTATTTGGGGAGAACTTTGAGAAGAATGTTGTAGATTTGGATTGCATTTGGGTAGTTTTTAAAATTGAAAAAACTCTTAACGACTATCTCGAGTATGACGCTTGTCGTTGATTATAGGTGAATGGTGATGGGGACATTGGAGGGAGGGGAAGTGGAGCAGATGGGGGAGGAGATGGAGGAGAGAGCAGCACACCCTCCAACAACATCACTGCATCCGGTCTACCCATCACTCGGAGTGTTTGAAGGAGATCGGGCACAGCTCTCAGCGAATCTTTCTCCACGGCTTCCCATAAAGATAGCAGGAGACAAGTGGGTGATTGACCGGGTCGAGTCGCGAAATACTGAAATTTCGTTTTGCTTGGACTGCATTGCTAGTACTTTGCTGCATAGTACGTTTTAGTACTAGCAAAGTACTAGTACGTTTTAGTACTTTACTAGTTAGTATTGTTAAATAAGCACAAAATTCTTTGCCATACCTGCAGATATTTGTCCAATTTCAATTTTCCCGCCAAACCGCGCCAATCTCGAGCTGGATCAGTGGGTGGATCGAGCAACGCGGCCAAGGAGTCTTTCACATCGATTGGCAATTGGAAATTGATGTCAACTACCTGAAACTTTTGATTGAGGATTGTTACATTTGAAATGAAGCTACCTTATCCGCTTCATCATTCGGTTGGAGTCCACTTGTGTCAAGTTGCACATTCAACACGTGACGCTCGGCATTGTTCGTCTTTTGGTAGATCACAATGCGACCTAAGCGAGAAAAATAGTTATATTAAATATAAACTAAGCCGTTATATTCAGCTTGATTTGGTATCTTTGTAAAATCATTGAAATTCTCACAGTTGAACTCTTCAGGTCGTCTTCTCTCCGAATTGGCGATAGCGATGCTGCTGTGGAGACCATTTTGGGAACACCATTGATGATGAGTTGCTGGGATTTCCTGGAAATATTGAAGCTATGTCTGGAACTTGCTATCTGAATAATCTAAAATCGAATCAACATTCCGAAACCAACCACAACAGGTGATCCCTTGAGCGTGAATCCAGGAGAGATTTCTTCGACACAAAAACAGAGATCACCGGATGGTTGAAGGCTGAAATGGGAGTATTTAGCAAAAGCAGGAATAAGTCGTTTCCTTAATTCACTAAAATCTGACCATATTACTCACATGAAATGTTCGGAGATTGCAAGTGGACGAGCGCCTGCTTCTTGTCGACCGACGGCTTCCATTGATGCTCCCGTTTCCGGGACGCAATAAGTCTGAAGAATGGTTTTTAATTTGTTATGGATTCTGTGGATTTTGAAAATTAAACTATTGCTTTGAAAGACCAAGCCTAGTATGTTGTTTCAATTTTAGAACCAACCCTTAATTCAAAGTCATCTCTGCCTGGATTTGGCGGTCCAAAGCATGCCAGATGAACTCTTTTGCATGGAGCTACTGATGTTCTCCTTGATCGTCCGGCTAGCATAAATCTGAAAATTTAGTTAGAAAAGATTTCTTTTAAAATCCCTTACCTTCCAAAGTGTTCAGTCATTAAATGGACGATTCCAATCCTCCCCGATGAGGGATTCTCGAGATGCACGTGAACAGGGCTGTTCAAGTTCTCTTCCCCGACTCGTACCACCTAGATGTAGGTCAGATTTTTATATATTTTCATTTTTTCAGTTCTTACCTGTTTCCATCCAAAACCCTCATCAGCCCACACAGAGAACGCCCAATTATCCCTGGGAAATGTGGCCGCACAATGTCTGAACGAGAGAATGGCGGGCCGTTGAAGAATTCGACTCTCCGGATCTCCTTCCCATTCAGCTTCTCCCATTGTCACCACTGCTGAGACAGCTATTTCACCAGCTAAAAATGGAGTTAAAGTTATAGATTTCTCGTTGTACTTACGTGGCAACTTTGGTCGATCTCCGGGTTGCTCACTCACAGCTATGTAAACCGTTCTCTCCATCTCAACCGCTCCCTCTGGCACCAAAAGGCTGGCACCAGCTTTTTGTAACTAAATCAATGAGTTAAAGAATTGTTTCAATTTTAAGCAATTATTTTCTTCTTTTTTTTCAAGCATTCACCTGCAGCCGAGCTCCATTAGCATCGATTTGCGCAACGAGAACGGATTGAGCGTTTTGAATCGATTGAACGGATTTCTCTTCCATGTAATCGTACAAAGTCGCATAGTTCTCATCCTCGGAACAATTCGAATTGCTTCTGAAAAGTTTCCATAAAAGTTTTCAATTCTAAAATTACCTCAAGAGAGTCTTACGACCCCTTTCAGATGAAGAGTTTGATGAACATTCAGTGATCAAAGCGGCTCGTGATCCTGTAAAAGATAAATACTAATTCTAGTATTCTAGAACAATCTATAGTCTGTCTGACATTATTAATCGTATTTATTCATTTTTGTCATACCAGCATTTCTATTCGAAGTGTACGCACTGTAGGCACTTTTCGCCGATCTAAGAGTCATTGTCGGATGAATGGGTGATGGAGAAAAGAGGTCGCCAGCCGGTAGCTAATATTTAGAAAATGAATTCATCTTCATTCAAATCATGTTCTCACCTTGATACAGTCCTGTGCCAGTAGAGTGGCTTGTTGTTGCTCGAGGAGTACTCGTCGCATGTGACCTGAATCGTGACCGTAAACACTTTCAAAACTTCACAGTAATTTTCACCTCCAGTTTCCGCATAATAAATATTATTGCTCGATTTTTTCCGATTCTTTCGACACATCAAAATCCAGCAAAGAGCACCGAGGATTAACGCGAGAAGGACAAAGATTGAACACATTCCGATTAGAAGGGGGACATCCTAGAATTAGCTGAGCTTTTAGGAGTCAATCTTTCAACTAAAGAATACTAAAGAGTCAATCTTTCAACTAAAGAGTACTAAAGAGTAAATCTTTCAACTAAAGAATACTAAAGAGTCAATCTTTCAACTAAAGAGTACTAAAGAGTCAATCTTTCAACTAAAGAATACTAAAGAGTCAACTTTTAACTAAAGAGTATTAAAGAGTCAATCTTTCAACTAAAGAGTACTAAAGAGTAAATCTTTCAACTAAAGAATACTAAAGAGTCAACCTTTCAACTAAAGAGTACTAAAGAGTCAATCTTTCAACTAAAGAATACTAAAGAGTCAATCTTTTAACTAAAGAGTATTAAAGAGTCAATCTTTCAACTAAAGAGTACTAAAGAGTAAATCTTTCAACTAAAGAATACTAAAGAGTCAATCTTTCAACTCTACGAGTACATAAAGATTTATTGAATTGTCTCAATGTTTTCATATCTCTGCAAACTTACATGACTTGATAGAGTTGAAGATTGTGGAGGGATTGCTGGAGATTGGTGAGATCTCTCGACATTCCTTTCACAATGACTCGTACAATTGACAGTCTCCATCACTATCCCCACACAATCAGCTCCTCCATTCAATGGTGGTGGATGCGCACATTTTCGTTGTCTTGACTAAAGGATTAAAATTGCACATTGAAATTGTAATCTAAAAGCTACCTGTGTGCAATGTTCGGGTGAGCATTCACTCCAATCACTCCACTCTGTCCATCGACCATCGATTTTACACGGAATATCACAGTGCTTGTATTCCTCATCAACGCCGAAACAGTGAGCACCTAGAAAATATTCAGCTAATGGTTTATTCTTAAGTTCAAACTCAAGTCTGACAAGGTGGCTTGATACAAGAAGACTTAGAAAACCGTATCCCTGCTCACCTCCATTCAATGGTGCCGGATTATTGCATGTCCTCGTCCTTCTCTTCCTCGGAATCACTCCATCTTCTCCGGATCCAAGTGCTGCTCTCAGCAATCCACAATCCACCTGACACGATCCCTCCCATTGTGCCCAATCTGACCATTGACCGTCAACTGAAAATTTTGAGCTATAACAATTTTCCTGTACCTCAGTTTTTCTAAAAGTTTCATTCTATAAACAAAGAGATTTCACAACTGTCGATGTCATAAATTTCCGGGAAAATCCCCGGAGTGACTCGGTTTGTCACAAAGCATGAGCCCCAATTGTTTCCCATTTAGTCACCAAAAGACAAAGCTCTTTTCTCAATCAAGTTCCTTATCTCTTGTCTCTTTTATTGAGGGATGCCCTCGGGAGATTGCGTAATGCTTTGTGGAAGAGAAGAAAAGGGATGGGATGGTTGATGTCTCCCGCGCTTGATTTGCATAGTTGTCTCTTTCCGATTCTCTTTGATTCAAAACCAACGGTCAACTTTGTCCACTTTGTGGGCGAGTCCCGGGGGAGCTTTTTAGGGTGACTCGTTTTGGAGAAGCTTGTACTTGTTTGGGGAATGACTTTAGTTGGGTTGCTTTTGTAAAAACTCAAGTTTCGGTTGTTGTTTAGTCTAGAGATAAGCTAGAGTTAAAGCTTGAAAGAAGCAAAACCTTTAGTTTAGTTTAGTAAACTTAAGTTTAGCAAACTGATTGATTCAAGGACGAATCTGGTAACTATCCAAATACATTTTTCATTATTTAATGCAAAACATACTCCTGCTTACCTAAAACTTATCTAAAACTGATCTTGATGCCCTTTTCCCATGCCTAGCACCTATTTAGCACCCCTTATCGAGACATTTCGAGGGAAAACTTTGGTTGCTGGCCATCCGAAGTCATATCTATGTGGGCGATCTTTGATGGAGATTCCTTTTCCTTTCAATTCTTCAAGAACTTCACGTTCCGCTACATCTCTTGTGGTCATTTTGATGGACAACGAGTGAAAAGGATTACCCTGAGTCTTTAAACTCAGCTAAACCCCCCGACTGAGTCATCGTTTTCGAAATAGGGGATTGTTTAGTGACAAAGTTGTAAACTAAACATGAGCCAGACTAGATTGTAAACTATTCTTTCAACTAAAGCTACAACAACCTGGAAACTAAAAATGCTATCTCGATCATATCCCAATCGAATTCTTATGTAATACAAGTCCCCCGGGGAGGTCCTTCTCATCCCCTTTCCGCCAGCAATTCGCCAGCAATTCATTTGCATATTTTACAACGATCTTAATGGTTTAGCGGTGCTTTCTCAAGGGATTTCTTTGGTCATTCAGTTGTCCCAATCGGTCCCCCATTTCCTTTTCTTTGAAGACTTCAAAGAGTCTTCCACACAAAAGCCTGTAGCCTTTTCCTCTTGAATGTGACAAATTACGCGAGGCAACGCGTGTATAGACACATTGGAAGACAGTGCAAGCATTGAATCAAATAGCAACTGGACCTAAGAAACTCAAGGGATTCAAAAGTTTATCAAAACAGTAAGATTACCAAAAACTACTCGATATTAAAGTCAAAAAATGCAAATGGAAATGATTCAAAAGTTTCAAAAAACGTTATGAAACTATTACTCTTCAAAAAACTAACACATCTAAGTGTATATAACTGTCAAGATCGGTGTCTGTTCTTCTTCATTCACTCCTTGCACTACAAATTACTCCTTTACAACAATTCCCTTATAATTGGAGTGAAGAATTCTTCGGCCACAAGTCAATTACAGTTCCTCCATTTACATTGTTGGTGAGTCTATTTAGGGTAAAGGAAAAGAGTTCATATTGTCTCCTTTTACCCATTCGATCCCCTTTTCCGGATCTCTCAAATATATTCATTCTTTGGATGCACAGATGCTTGCAAATATGCATGTCTTTTCTGTCTGTCTGTCCCGAAGAGGATCACTTGACACTCACTGTTTCTTCTCATTTTTCTTTTTCTCCTGTCGATCTGTTTGACAGAAATTGCAAAGGCCATCATCCTCATCCATTTCCATTTCCGGGTTCATCAAATATTTCAAAATTTCTTCTGGATTTGGATAATATTGGGTTCACGATCGGGATAGTTGAAAGATAGATAATTGAAAGGTTTTAGATAGTTGAAAGACGAGAGTCTAAGCTGCTGTAAATGAACCTAAATTCATGGTGGATATTTCTCACATTTAACTCTTGAAAGAGACTAAAGTGTAGTCCATAGCATGGCTTGTCAAATCTCAATTTATTATCAATTATCAATCACTAGTCTTTATATGGTTCACAGTGAACTTTATTTTGTTACCCCATCAGCTCCATCCACATTCCCTTTATCCAGGGTCAATGTTTCGGATGGTCACCCCCAAATATCCGGGAGAAATCTCTCTTTTCCCCTTCTTTGAGTGAGTCGGAGTCAATTTGCTCTATCGTCTTCTCCTCCTTTCACCCTTTGGGCAGAGTATCAAATTCTCCGGGTTTCTGTGTGCGTTCGATGTTTGGCACCAATGAAAAGAGGAAGTGGGTGGGGAGGAAATGGGCATGAATTCAACCCGAAACTCTCAAAGAGATGATCCCATTCTCTCATTTACTCTCCTCTCCGAATGCTCAAGGTCTACCCAAGAAACTCGATTGAAATGTTGAGCAATCGGTGGAAATTCGATTTTCAGTTGACTAAAGCTAGCGCTATCTAGACATTGGCCTAGATAGCGCTAGCTAGGTATCTAGGTAAATATGCATAGATGATAATTTCAGTCGAAATTCTCATTCTAACACTCATCTAACACTCATCTAACAGATCTGAATCCCCATTGAAGCAATTCTTGCCAATCTCAACCCAATCATTCGCCTAATGAAAGCACAATTTTGGTAACGAGGCCTTAAAATAATGAGGCCAGAAAGAACAAAGGAGAGAAAAGAGTTCCCTTCTTCAGATTCTAACAACATGTGCAATGATTTCCTCATCCATGACTTGCTGTTTGCGACTTGTTTTTCGTGACAAAACCAATGCACAGATGCGTGCAATCAGTTCCCATTGCACATTTCATTGAATGAATTGCTTTTAAGTAGTCACCCAACGATTCCCAACGATTCCCCAATCATTTGAAATGTGACATTGCGCATAGATTTGCATAATTGGTTTCGAGTTTTTAAGTGATACGGTAATCGTTGTTTCTATAATTTTATGAAACATCTTGTTCAGTTTAAAAAAATTAATGAAATCTGGTATTGTAATTGATTTAAAATCTCTACCCATAAATAAACATATAGACAATTTTCTGGGTGACAGATGGCAAGCATGTGCGAGTTTTTCCCCCACAAAAATAACAAAAGTTAGCAGATTTTTGATGATTTCTGTCACTGGATTTTGTTGATATTTGAAATATTTCAAAAATTTCTTTTTCAACTGACCATAAACGGTTAGCTGAGCTGTGTCGGTGACTCTCTTTGTCGCGATGTTGGTGGCCTCACACGCGTACGCGCCCGAATCGCTTAAACGAGCTGCCGACAAAATCAAACTGCCGTCGTTTCCTAGAAAAAAAGACAGGCTTTTGATTGACATTGATTTCTTTAAGAAACAGTGTACGAATCATATAGACCAGTCACAGTACAACGTAGTACTACTCAACCTACCATAGATGATGTTCGAGTCGGCTCCCTGCTCGATCGGCTGCCCGTCTTTTAGCCAAATCACCTGAAATGTTGAAAGATTTTTTAAAATCAAAGTACATTTTGTACTTTCTATTACTTTGTTTTTGTACTTTCTATCTTTTGAAAGTAATGGAGACTCCATTACTGACTCCATTACTGACTCCATTACTGACTCCATTACTGACTCCATTGAAGTCAGTAATGAAGTAATGGAGACTCCAAAGTTTCCAAGTCGCTTAAATTAAGAATTTCTTAAGGTTTCTCAATCTTTCCCCGGAGTCCTTGGCATCAAATTGTGACAGGAATACGGGGAACAAAGAGCCCACAAAAGTTTGAAATTTGTAAGAGAGAGAGAGAGGCTTTCTCCTTGAATAATAATGGATGGCTGGACACGAGCGGTCATTTATCAGACAGAAAAGGAGGAAGGGACAGGAAAGAAGTTGGGGGAGATTGGAGTGACTTGTCTATCTACTGAATACATCTTTACCTACATATCTGCATTCTAGAAGTATTCTGGTGTACTAATAGCAGACTTAGGTCTTAAATGTACTGTACAAAGTACTAGCGAACTGGCAACGAGTTTTTTTCTCAGACTTTAAACGCATCTTGCTCTCCATCCTCACCTCTAAAGAAATACTAGTTTAGTTAGGCTTTTTTTATACAATTATACTATAGTTAGACTTGCTTTTATATACTATTATACTATAGATTATCTAATTTATTCCCCGAAAAATAGTTTCAATGGAGTCTCCTTCCCGCTTATCTCCTCTCTGAATCAAGATTGCTCAATTCCCCCATTGGCATTTCGATGTCGATTGTAAACGAGCGCCTCAAATCCATCAATTTCACTCGCTCGTAACAATTATCTCAACTTTTGACAACGAATCCCCATTTTATGGCATGTTTGTTGGACGAGATTTGAGAGCAGATTATCTTCATTGAATCGTAAACAGTGGTCAATGAGGAGATGGGTATATTGCACTTGAAGATTTGAAGATAATTGACAATAAACCAACCTGAGCTTTCGGTTCACTTTCAGGTGGTGAGCATTGCAGTTGCACGGTTAAGCCCTCGTGAACGCGTTGTGATTGAGGAGTGGTGCCGAAATGTTTTCGCATATCTGAAATGTTTTCGCATGATTATAAATAAAAGAAAATGAATTATATCTAATGAATTAACAGATCTAAGCTATAGAATTATCTATGAAGAGGTCAAGAAAGATTAGATAAAGATAAAGCAATATTATGTTTGCTCGCCAAACTCTGCGAGTTTTTACTCGCTATAAACATAATATCATTTTTCTCATAAGCTTTTCCGATATAATGTAACTAATTTTGAGGTTGGACAATTTATTCAAAAACCAGTGTAATTCAAAAACCAGTGTAATTCAAAAACCAGTGCTCTACCAGATCTAAGCTATAGAATTATCTATGAAGTGGTCAAGAAAGATTAGATAAAGATAAAGATAAAGATAAAGCAATATTTTCAACAAGTCGAAGAGAAATTAGGATGATTGTAGGATGATTTGTAGGATGATTTCGAATGCAATAGATTTTATTTGTTATGATTTGTATAATGTATCTATTTTCAATAACAAAAATCGATAAAGAGACTGTAAAAGGAGTGTTTGTTTAAGAGACAATGATGAGATGAGAGGGGACACAACCACAGCTGCACTCAAGCCGGCTACTCACTACAAAAAAAAATGGATGGATGAACTTGGATCTAGTTCTTGTCTTGGGTCTAGCTTGATCTCTTCTTTTTCTTTGATGACCACTTGAAGAGCTTTCTGATATCAAAGTGATTGAGTGGGATCCTCAAAGGAAACACCAGGCTACACTAATTTTTGAGTAGAACTTGAGAGCTTTCTACAGATTGATGAACTAGACTAGTTATTAGAATGAAGTGAAACTCAATCTTACTGTATCAAAAACAGATTAAGTAATAGGTGATTGTCTTTTCTTTGTCTTTTCCCTATTCAAGAAAAGTCAAAGCTTTCCGATTGACAGTGATTGAATGAGTGGAAAAAAAAAGAAAGTGAGATGATTATTGTAACTTCTTACACACTCATTCATCCCATTTGCAATCATCAAAAGACAGCCTTCTCTTTCGATTTCAATAGAGGGTTGTCATTATTTGTGACAGATCGTATTTTTTTCAATGGCGGTAAAGATAAAGCAACCGGTTAAGAGATTGAGTGAAGAAAAAGAGAATATTGTATGTCTAGAAAGTCTTTTCGCTCAATCAAAGCAAATTTTTGTATGGTTAAAAGATATTGATCAATATCTTCAATTAAAGATCAATATCTTCAACTAAAAACAGCGGCATAACTTTTAATTTTGGTAAACTTTGATTGAAGAAATGATTGAGCTTGATTGAAATGATTGAGCATTGAGTCAAATGTGATATTTTCTGAGTCACGTTCTTTTGATTCGGACTTTCTGGACTTTCTGGCTAACCTAATAGAAGTCGGTACAGACAAAGCAATTTATCGATTGAAAGAAAACGTTACGAAAGCAAGTGCTCAATTGAAAAATGAGTGCAATCGTTCTGTTACTGTTCTAGAAAATAAAAATCATATGAATCTGTGCACAAAAAAATCTGTTGGCAGAAGAGAAATGGTGCGTCACTTTTGATCGTGTCCACATTCATATCGATATTCGCCTGATCGGGGCCGAAAAAGAGCGGTTGACTGCTTTTCATTCAAAGCCACAGTGGGAAGCAAAGGAAATTAACAGTGTGAATTTCTATAGCTTTGTTTTTGTTAAAGAAAACTGATCCAAAACATAGATTTGAACTAAAAGGACTTCACTTAGACTAAAAGCTTCGAAATCTCCTCGATCCCTAACTCTCTAACTAAGGAATTTCTTGCAATTTTCCTACAATTGATTATAATGTTGAGTTGGTCCCAGAACCAACTGAACATTATATCCCATTGACGAACTCCAAAAGGTGTTCAGTTGTTCCCTTTCCCTTGATGGATCCATTTGCACAGATTCTCCCCTATTCTCTTTCCCCTTTTAAAAGACTTCTTCAACTTTCACGGGATTCCCGAGCTCAGAAATTTGGCTCAAATTTCACCCTTCAAATGCTCACCGCGTATGCAAATTTTCCAAGAAAAGAAGAAGAAGAAAAGAAGTTTTTGTGATGACTTTACAGTTATTAGAAAGCCGCTAGTGCTAATATGGAAAAAGAAAAGAAAAGTGGAAAAAGAGTGCCCTTGTCGGCATGATTTTATGAACGAGCAAACACCTGAACAAATATGGGTCTAGGCTTGATGGTGGTGGGTATTGTTACAACCTGTGGATTAGAATGGAATCGATTGGGCAACTTTTAGAGATGTGATCATAAGAATACTGAAGTCCCAGTCCTTTGTCTCAAGAAATGGCTGAAAGGCGGCTGAGGAATGCTCAAGACTGCTTCTAACGGAGAATGACGGAGAAAGTGACAATCTTAGCCATATAAACAATTATTTACAGTACACTAATCCACTTGGATATTTAGATTTAACCAGTATCTTACTCATTAGACTTTTACAACTCTCAAACTGACCCCATTGTTGCACAACAGAGGTCCAGTCGGCAGTCGTCAGAAGCGAACAACAGATCACTTTCAATGGTGGTTGATTGCGCAACAAGGGACATTCTTTTTCAATTCTTTTATCGCTTCTCCTTTCAACTAATACAGTCACTTTATTGCATAAGGATCAGGTCAAATTTGAGCTTTTCCATTCAGTAATTCACCGATTTCAACATCAAAACGCCACCGAGCACATCATTATTTTTCGATTTCGATGAAAACGGTGTAAAATCGATGTCTCAAACTAGTGAACTCAATGTTTTACCGATTTATTTTATTGTTATTTTTTCTGTTTTTCACTGCAATCGATGCTGATTCGTAAGTTTTATTCACTTTGGCAGCTAAGTTGACTTATAGTTAAGTACACTACTGGACAATGAAATATCATATTTGAAAAACGATCGTCACTTTCGCGCGTCTGTAACTCCCTTGTCTTTACCGTATTTCTAAATATTAATATTACCATTGTATAGGCCTTGAAAAGAGCTTTCAGAAAATGTATAACACTAACAGTTTAAACTCAAAGACAAGGGAGTTACAGACGCGCGAAAGTGACGATCGTTTTTCAAACATGATATTTCATTGTCCAGTACTGTATATCCAAATAATAACTGAGTATTCCATCTCATAATTAGTTCTTTTAAGCTTAAGCTCAATCGCTTGAATACTGTTTTTCAGAAATTTGACCTCACTCCTAATCCAACGTCTCCAAGAAGCGCAAAAGAACCCGTTAAATAGGATATACTTTGGTTTAATGAGAGAAGCTTTAAAAAGTAAGCATTTTTTTTAGTTAATGGCTTGAAAGCAACAAGGAAACCATATTATTTGCGGAATGAATCTCACGAATTTACACGTAGCGCCGAGTCATCGATTGAGAGAGGTGAAATGGATGAGGACACGTATCATCGATTTGGAGACAGTGATTCCGATGAGTATTACAATAAATAATTGCCTAGTTGGATTGCAATTCTTGGTTTAAATTCCCGCTACATTGTACCATACTTTATGCGCCAGTGAAGTGCAAAAATTGTGTTTTTCTGATATTTTCAGATGATTTGCGATCAATTTAGTTGTTCTAAGCTTAGATTTGGCTGCATTGTACTATTTTTTTTTGTCCAGTATAGGAGAGAAAAAGTTGAATAGAAGTGAATGGTGTCTGAAGGAGCGAAAGAGTTATCCTTGAGATGAACGCGCGAAATGATGGGTTCACACTATCAAATGAAAAAAAGGGAAATGGAAAAAAAGAGAAGAATTCAACAATCTTTTCCCTATCTTGATTTCTTTCATTCAAGGGTTTTCTCGCAATAACCGGGAACGTCGTTCATTGCCCGTTTTTCCTTGAACATCCCATCATTTCATCATTTCCCTGTTTCCCAAAAATCATACGTTTTCTTATTGACTGTGTAGAATCTAAAGCTTGAAAGATTCGTTTGAAATTTTTGAATAACAAGCTTGAATTTTCTTAGAGCTAAATCAGTAGTCGATGAGGGGACTGAAGGCAAACGGATTACACCATCGGTGTCAAGTGGATGGGGCAAGAAGTGAGCACTGACTGAGCACTGACTAGGCACTGACTGACCAATGTGACTGACCAATGTTGTCCCTATTTGCCACCCCTGCAATCCAATCCAATCCAATCCAGTCCAATCCATGCCAAATTTCTTACTCTTAGAGATTGCGAGGTTCATATTTCAGCAAAAATAATCCCATCATCAGATAAGGAGTGGCTCTCGAGAATTTTTGGAGAACATCTGTCTTTCTTTTGCCCAAAAACTCTCAAGAAATTCAGTTTTCACTTGTCGATCAGTCCCTAAGATTTCCAATGAAAAGTTTTAGAGATTCTAGCCAAGATAGCGGTTTCCTCCAAACTCTTTTACTAGTATTTCGGTAAGAGAATCTACAAAAAAAACGCCTTTAACGGTCCATCCGATCAGGAACATAAAAGAGTGAAGGATAAAGAAAAGAATAAAAAGAGATCCTCGTAAACTCTTTCTTTTCCTTGGATGCTAATTGTGCTCAGTCCCCGTGGCACCGTGCTCCGACAAATAACTTAACAAAAAACTTGCAAAGAGAAATTCCATATGCTCTGTTTTACATCGAGAAGATAATGAAACGAGAGCTCTCACTTTGCTCTTCGATTTTATTGTGAGTAAGACTTTTGAGGTTACAACTGGCTCTGAGATTGGCTGTGAGATGAACGATCGTGCTTTCAAGATACGTTAAAGTTCTAAAATTTCTTTTACACTTGATCCCAGGTATGCTGTGCCTCAGGTATCAATAGTTTGCAAATCCTTTAACACTCAAATCCTCAAATCCTCAAATCCTGTTTATCCGAAAATCGTTTCTTGCGAATGCTTGCGCCATCTATGCCCAATTTGGTGCGATTTGGCGTGCCCCACTTGAGAGTTTCGAGAAAAGAAAAAGGGGAAACGGGCATGGACATCAACAGAGAGTGTATTAGAATGGAGAAAAGGGAGGCAGTACTTTAGATGAACTGATTCGACTGGCTGATTACGATGAAATGGGGGGTACTCTTTTGAG